TGGGATCTTGATCAGAACATTTTCATCAACGAACTGACATACAGACATAAACAATATACTGATAACGTAACTTACCATAACTTCTCCACTTAAACTAGAAGGGTGGAACCTCCTATTTACAGATGGCTCCAAACAAGATAAGGGCGTTTCATTTGCAATAACAAATGACAAGGGTATATGAATTGACAGTCAATCAGTTTTCCGAGCAATAAAAAACTCTAATAAATAATTCACTTTACCATGCTCAGCAGATACTCATAAGATGTCATCAAACATTCGACTTATGTGGATTCCAGCTCATTCTGGCATCACAGGCAATGAGCTAGCCGATCAGGCCGCAAAACAAGCCTTAAAGTCTTGTCTGCATCTCCACATTCCTTTTTGAAACAAATCTTTAAAAACATTTATTCATCAACTTTGAACAAAGTCTTTTACAACGAGGGGTCGACGTACTAACATCAATATAAAGAAATAAACCACTTCCAACTAACACATCGATTTGGGCAAACAGATGCTTTGTACGTACGGTGACCATCCGTCCTTTATTTTAAAGGACAGTCCTTTATTGTAACCCCCTGTCCTTTAAATTTTTTTCAAAATAAAGGATGCCTCTTGTCCTCTATTTCTTAAACTGTCCTTTAAACCAGCTCTGCATGTTTCAGAGGTAAATTTTTAAACACAGAATATGAAAAATAAAAATGTCCCTTACAAAATATAATGAAAACCTTCGCCAGTTTGTTTCGTACCCCACTTAAGGGTTCCTACTTAATCGGTAATCTTTGCACAATCTATAAAGCACAGGGAAAGTTGTACCCTGGATCGTTTTACATGCTGAATTTCCAGTTCCACTGAAAGGGAACAATTAACCCTCTGCTGCACATTGGTTCAAAACTGGTATTTAGTGTTCGTAATTCACTGGAGCCTAAATTTTTCACTTGATCTGATTTTTTTTTTGTGAAAGCTTACAATATTTGCAAGATACCAGTTGAGCCTGATTTTTGAATTTTTATTCGATTATATTAAATTTTTTAGTGGAAAATGCGGAAAAAGTAGAAATTTTGAGTAAAATTTATTCTCCGGCTCTAGTTGATAAATGTTACATAACAAAAACTATTTGAAAACAATTGTATGGTTCTCCCAAAGAAAAAATTACACAAAAAAGTGTTTGAAATGTTCACCAATCTCATTATAAATAAATGAAAAATGAAGGCTCAGGTGAATTATGAACATTTAATTCCAATTTTGAACCACTGTGTGTTGACTTCGGCGTGTATTATGAATTTTGGCAGCGAAGGATGGCGAAGTGATGAAAAGGATTTGGCTTCATTTTTCGGAATCGGTTAATTAACTGGTAAATATTTGATTTAAATTACGATATGGGTAAGGTACTTTTATCATACAAGTTGTATGTACGTATTTCCAAATCATTTAAAAAAAAAATGTCCTTTATTTTACGTTGGTTAATATGGTCACCGTATTTGTAAGGCTTAGACCTGGCCACACCACTATCACTCATGAGTACCTTTTGAATCATGCCTCGCAACCCATTTGACACTTCTGCAACACCAATAGTCTCACAGCTCAACACATTCTATTGAATTGCCCAGCTCTTCATAACCAACGGAATCAAATATTTAAGAATTGAATCCCTCTGCCACTAAAATAAGATTAATTAGAACTTTTCTAAAATATGCTAACTTATTTCACCTAATTTAAATATTTCATTCATAGACTAAGCCGATAGCCCTAGTAACTTGTGCTAAATTATAGTTTTATAATTTTAATTAATTAAAATAATCCCAACGGCTTTTTACCCTCCATTCCCGCCCAACCGACACGAGGGGCGCAGTCCGCATGACGTACGGAACCTTTTTTTTTTTAGTTTTTTGGTGCCGAGTAGTGGAAACAGGAGTTTGTTAAGTGTCGAGATCTAAAACTATTCAGCTACAGAATCAAATTCATCAGCTGATTGGATATGCTAAAGATAGTATTTCAATTATTGAGAGTGGAAATAATAGTTTTCTTTATAGTAAAAATCGAGTCCGATACGTCAAACGTGCTGGAATGACAGTTAAAATCCTGACATAAACCACGGAATGATTCGTTTAGTTCAAAATTAGTTTTGCATAGCTTTAAAAATAGAGGTCGAAAGTGTCTTGACACTCGAGAAGGAACATTAAACTTTACCTCAGCCAGGAGGGCCGGGCTATTAATCAAGCCTGTCATTAATTTTACGATAAATATTATACCCAGCATTTCTCTACGGCTTGCGAGTGTAGGCAAATTTATGAGCTTTAGACGACTTGTGTAAGGAGGGAGATTGTAATCTGAATCCCAGTTAAAATTACGCAATGCAAAAAGCAAGAATTGTTTTTGAATTGATTCAATCCTTTCTGAATGAACTTGATAGCGGGGATTCCAAACAATAGATCCGTGTTCCAGTATAGGTCTAACTAAACTGGTTAAAAGTGCTTTAGTAACATAAGGATCTTTGAACTCTTTTGACCATCGCCTTACAAATGCAAAAACGCCTTTGGCTTTATTGACTGTGACATTAATATGATGGTTGAAATTGAGTTTGGAATCCATTGTGATACCAAGATCGACAAAATTGGATACCTGCTCCAGATTATAATTTGATATTGAATAAACAGCTGGTTGAACAGCCCTCCGAAAGAAACACATAACTTAACATTTTTGAAGGTTTAGTGGCATATAGTTTGTATTACACCAACTAACCACGTTGTTCAGATCCGCTTGTAACAAAGACCTTTCTTCGATAGAGGACAATGTTTTAAAAAGTTTCACATCATCGGCATACATTAAAATTTCTGAATGTTTTATTATAGAAGAAATATCATTAACGAATATCAGGAACAGAATTGGACCAAGGTGGCTTCCCTGAGGAACCCCTGAAGAAACTTTAATGATGTTGGAAGAACAATTATTAACAATAACTCTTTGTGTTCTATCAGAGAGGTAAGATGAGATCCATTGAAGAAGACTGGGCTGAAAGCCGATTAGGTCGAGTTTACGGATGAGTAACGAGTGACATACTTTGTAAAAAGCTTTACTGAAATCGGTGTATATTACGTCGGTATGAGCATTTTCTTTAAAACCGTTTGAGACATGAGTTGTAAACTCCAATAAATTAGTCATAGTAGATTTTCCTTTAGAAAACCCGTGTTGAGATTGTGTAATTGAAGATATTGAATATGTCAGCCGGTTAACAATAATTGCTTCGAATAATTTGGGGATAGCGGAGAGTTTCGCTAT